GAAATATAAATATATATTATTCCACTAATTTGGTAAATACGTGTTGGATTACACTTTGCCATTGGCATTAACAGGAAATATTTTTGGAATTGTTTTTGCTTCGTCCTTTTGTTTCTGTTGACCCAATCTCATTCCGTCCAGGATGCCGTTTCTGCTACTCAAAATTCTGTTGAACATCCCATTAACGCCGTTACTAAAACGTTCGAGTTCTTCCGAGAACGACCCTGCAACTTTCTCCAGTTCCTTAACGGTGCCGCTAAGCTTTTCCTTGTCGTCGCTATCTATGAGGTCATTCACCTCAATTATTCGCGACTCCACCTCATCGATTTCCCCGAAATACCCTTTGATTTTGTCCCTATCTTTTCGTTGTTTCAACTGGGTCGAAACGGTGGACGCGAGTTCGTTGAACGAGTCAGCCCAAGCAAACTCGGCAGGAATTGCGCGGACCACCTCCACCAGCCCCGTTGACCCGGTCAACATCGAGATCGAAGCGTCGGCGACGAAGACCGTTAGTAATCCAACGGCGTGGATTGTCCGGCGAACAAGGCGACCATCGGTCGTGGTTTTCTTCTCACGCGGCGGGTTGTCAAGCGAAATCGCTAAATCCCTAACCAAATCATGCACATCTCTCTGGAAACCTCGTTTCTTGACCTGAAATGGAGATTTAAATGTTTAACGAGGAAAATAATGCTTTAAAATTGTTTTGATTGAGTTATACACAGGTTAGGGATTGTAATAGATTTGGTTTCCCCATGTACCCGTGAAATAAAATATTTTACCGATAATAAAAAATAAAAAAAAAAACGTCGATTCTTGACCTGAAATGAAGAGGAACTGTCATAGATCTCCCATCTGGAAAGAAAATCCTTGGCTTTGGCCAGATCCGAGGCAAGTAACTGGGGAAGGAAGTTGACGCGAAGTCGGCGCTGTTTCAACCGTTCGATCTGCACCAGGACAGAATTGCAGACATCCAACACCTTGAGACAATTGTCCAGGTAAGAGGAAAGCGATTCATCGTAGGAAGACACCTTCAGACTGGAAATCAGAGCGTCAGCTTGGGCATGAGCAAAGCACAGGAACTCAACTGCCTGGGAGAGCCAAGAGAGCGTGACAGACGGCGGATTCAGAGCCTTGATTCGACGGAGGAGAGATTCATCAAACGATTGTGAGAGGAGATCGAACTTGTTCGGAAGGTCTTTGGGGTGCTTCTTGAACGGAGAGAAGGAAGGGAACCAAGCGTTGTCAGTGAGAAACATGGTGGTTTTGAGGGAGAAGAAGGGAGAAGAGGAGGTCAGATAGCTAGGGGATGAGGTGTTTCTGGTGGTATGTTATAGATCTGAGCGAGAAAAGAGAAGGGAAGACGAAAGTGAAACGAAATTACGCTTGGAGTCCTTGCACAGCAAC